AGAATTATGCTATCCACTTGCAACTTCAATCTTGATGCTCTTGAGAAAAAGTGCTCGAAAATGGATGATTCACACCAAAACTTTGCTTCAATTATGATCTATGATGATGATGGAGTCAGATTGAGTTGATTTTGATGAAAGTTGGTGAAGGTTTTGAGAGAATTGTAATGAAACTCTTATGAAAAAGTATGAGAAATTTTGTGGAATTCTTGGTGCAAATGAGGCCAACCCTTGCCAAATTCTCCTTTCATGAATATATAGACCCCAAATGAACATTCTAGATCCATCTTGCACATTCCCTTGTTTTCAAACTTTGGCTCATTTTTGATTATGTTTCTTAAATGATAAGCAACCATGGATAACTTCATTTTTTCCTTCTAAACTCAAAAAAGTGTGTGAACCATTGTTCTTAGAATTGTTTTTCCATTCAAAATCATATATTGGAAGTCTCCATTTGGACTTGTAAATCTCCCAAACCACTTTCCAACTTGAAATTATTCACTTTATAAGCCTTTTTAGTTCATATTTTGACCTATCATGCAACATCATGCTATGAGCTTCTCCAATAATTTGTGACCTTCTTTCTAGACTTAAAATCCCATTTGGAGCAAGTTTGATGTTGTAAGTTTTTCCATTTGAGGCCTCCTTGTATGAGTTTTGGGTATAGGTTAAAATGACCTGTAATTCACAAATGCCCAAAATACCCTTTGCTTGTCAAGACCATAAATTGAGTTCTCCACACCATATGAAGGCATACCATACCATTCTAGAAAGCTAAGACAATGAGGAACAATTCTTATGTTGACCAAGAATTCATTTGAAATCTCCTTGAGGGGTAAAACTAGCTTGGAAGTCAAGTCACTTTCACAGACAAAAGTTCAGACACCCCAGATGACCTGTAACTTGTAAGGACCATAACTTGAGTTCTATAAATCTCCTTGAGGTCTTCCACCACTCAAATTAAAGGTCTTGAGATCCTCTACAAGTTTCATGTTGGCCAAGAAGCCATTTGAAGTTAGCATTTTGACTTATCTTGCTTGGAAATTTGACCTAAACTAGGGGATTTTACAGAGAAACCCTAATTTAGTAACTCCTCTTCTCCTTGATTTTTCTTGAATTCTCCTTGTCATATCTCCATATCCTTCTTCATATGTCAAATGTTGATCCCCACATCTCTCCAATAGCCTTGAATGCTCTTTTAAACCAGTCAACTGACCTAGGGTTGACCTAGGGTTGACCTAGATGAAACCCTAGTTGACTGCCCTCAACTGTAGCTCTTGTGCTCTCATCAACAACTTGCTTTCTTCTCCAAATGACTTTATAAGTCTCTCAAGATGTCTAGATACTCTCCATGTCTTCATTTCATAGCTCATAATCCTCTTGTTGATCCTCAGATATCCTCAGCTAGGAGATGGACTCAAGGCTTGATCTGCTGAACTCTTTGCTTTCAAATTCTTTCCTGATGACTTGAATATGATTGAATTGGAATAATAACCTCTTGCTAGGCCTCTAGAGATGAAAATAATGATTGGTCCCCTGTTGAATGACTTGCTATGCTTATGCTATGCAGATGGTTAGTCTATGTACATGACTCTACATACAAATGCTAATGATGATGAAACATAAACCAAGGAATAAGGTTGGGCAAATTTTAGGGTGCAACACTTATTTCTAATATTATTCTGCAGAAGATTGGAAGAAACCATGACTGTCATGATGAAGATTCTGCAGAAGTGTTCAACAGGGCAAGCTGGTTAGCTAAGAGGAAGTGAAGCTGAATGTCATGACCAATGTTATGACATTGATCGTATGACATCAGACGGGCTGGGTTTGTTTTTCTGTTATGATACCTGAGTTATCTTAGGCTAGATTTCAGGAAGACTTGTTATGACCCCTGAGTTAAATTAGGAGAGATTCAAGGCAATGCTGACAATGCCATGACCTAATTGGACAACACCTTGAATTGTGGAAATTAGTTTTATGTTGTTAAAACTAATATTTGTTTCTTCTGCACAGCCCAAGCCCAGCCTGCAATACTATAAAAGGAGGCGCAGAAGCAAGGGAAAAACAAGCACTCACATCAAGAAAAACCATAATGTAAAATAGAGGTCTAGGGTTGAGAGTCCCTTGTGTGTAAGTCACCCTTTGTATCTTTTGATACATTGAGGTAGACATATTTGTAAGTGAAGAAGGCTAGTCTTCACTTGTAAAGTCTGTTTAGGAATACTTGTAATCCAAACAATTGTCTGGTGGATGAATGTTTTGGTTAGGTAGATTCTAGGTTGTGCCTCACTCAAAGCTGTGAAGCAAGAATGTGTGAGTTCCTTAATCAAAGTTGTGAAGCAAGATCAAGGTGTGTATGAAGTGTCTCTTCATATTAAATTATGTAATTGTTTGATATCACTATTATGGGATTGAGGGGGAGTGAGTGGGTATACTCAGGTACTAGAGTGTCTCTAGGCTGAAGAGTCATTGGGTAGAGATTAAGTGAGAAGTGCAAACTGGAGGTTTGACTTTGAATTGATTCTACTAATAGTGAATTTCCTCCCTGACTTGGTAGCCCCCAGATGTAGGTGTTGTTGATACCGAACTGGGTGAACAATTACTGTGTTATTTATCTTTCTGCATTTATAATTATGTACGTTAAATGGTTAGATAAATAGTATGACAGACTGCAGATGTCACAACAGAGGTCGTGACATTGGTCATGACATTGGGACAATTTAAAGAAATTTAAATTGGCCATGGTCTGTCCTCATCCTTGTTGAGCAGAGATCAATGTTCTTGGAACACATGTGATCTGCATACCAGAATTTTAATAAGAAATCTTATTAGGTTTTACAAAAGATAGAGAAAAAGGAAGAAGAAGAATAAGAATTAGTTAAAACTGTTTTACTATTCACTTACTCAATAAGGGTTCAAAGATTACAAGTGAATACTAACATTTAACCTCTCTCAACAACCTGAGAGAACTAGTCTATTTATAGACTACTAAGCTAACTTAGGATACAAGCTAACTTAACAATTGAGCTTAGAGGCAAGACCCAATTCGACATACTAACTTATATTACAAGTTAATATATTTCGATATTATGCTCGAACATACTTTGACTACAACATACATAACTCCTGTTGAACTATAAAGCTACCCTCGTCGACATTCGAGTTCGATCCAAATACCATAGAATCAAATCAAACCAGACCGAATTATGTTATAACCTAAACTTTACATATCCCACATCCAACCCAAAACCAAAACCTATTGTACTTTAGCCTTACGATTACAAACAATTTTCTCTTACTCAGACTTAGGATTTATCGCGACTTCTTCTCATTTTTTTGCCATGTACATTTCTCATCTTTTACTTTAATCTCTCTTTTCTCATGTTCTTTATTTTTCATATTCTTATTTTTATGTTATTTCTCTCTATTTCAATCACGTTTTTATCACACATTTCTTCTTTGTACTAGGGTCTAGTCTCACATCTCTTCTATTCTTTCTTTTTCATTTTCTCTAATCTCTCATCACCTCTATTTTTTCTCTTTCATTATAATTTTTTTATATTATTTTATACTAATATTTTATGTTTTTTATTCCACTATTATCTAATCTGATTTTTGTATGTTGAATGAAAAGTTGTTATCCAAATATGATGAGTTTCGTTGTTATCTGGTAATGTATGAATGACTAGTCTCATAGTTATGTTGTTCTCTGTATGTGTATGCATATCTCAACAAAAAAATCTTATAAAAAACCGAACCAACCTAAACCGCATTGGTTTGGTTTGATTTTATTTCTAAAAGCCAACCAAACCAAATCGAACCACATGCTTTTTTTTTTTTGCGGTTCGGATGACTTTTAGCGTCAAAACTGCCCAAGTCGCACGACGAACACCCCTAATCAGAACCATTCATTTGTTTTTTTGCACAAGCATCAACATCTAAGCCCACAGTAAACATATGATGAGCGCAAATAAGAAATCTAAGAACACCTATACTGATAATGGCATAAACCATGCCTAGATACTCGAAGACCGATTTTCTCGAAAAAGTCAAAACGATATGACTTATGATACCGAATCTAGGCAGTTACCATGTCTCAAGTATCAATAAATTGAACATGAATAAATGAACCAAATTTAAACTCCCACAGCTATGAGTTTTTTCACCATCCTTAATTTAGTTCAATCATCTTACCGTTGCTTATCCTTTTTAACATTTTTTTAAATCTTTATTCAATAATAATAATAATAATAATTTCAACCCTTTTATTTAATACCGAATCTACTCGAATTTGATAAAATAACTTATCCTTCATTTAATTGAGAAAATTAAAGAAAATGATTTTTTAAGTCAAACAAATTTAAGAAAATTTCTCTAGTGTCAAATTATCCTACTAAAAAAAATTTCTTTTGATAATATATATATTTTCAAACTATACTACTATATTTGAATTGATGAAATAGAATGAAATATATATTTGGATTGATGAAAAAGAATGAAATATAATGAAATCAATTAAAAAAATGATAAAATGATTGATTGAATGTATTTCATCTCATTCCATCACTTTTCATTATTTTTTATACTCTCTTATCTATGCAGAATGACAAAATCTTTATATTTTCCTATAAAATATCCAAACAATAAAACAATATCTTTAATCATGAAAGGATAGGATCCTCCCTTCCGCTCTACTCCTTCCTATAATTTTACACTAAACAATCAATATATTTCACATAGTATAGTGGGAAATCCAAAACCCCTATTCTAGCGGAATAGGGGGTGGTGGAAGTAAACAGCATTCCATTTTCCTTTTTTTTTTTCTCGATTTTTCAGGCTTCTGCATTAAAAAAATGTAAACTGTTATTTTCATTTGTCGTCGTCTCCACCAGGAATCAATTTTTTGTGTAAGTGGAATCAAACACCATTATCATCATTTTCATGGCATTAACACACTTCAATTTCCACCACCTCCATTTTCTCACAAAATAACCGACATGTTAACTTCACCTTTACTCTCCGTCTGTAACCACACCTTTTCCTACAACCCCATCAACTACCATCACGTCCCACCTTTAAAGTTTCAATCTTTAGCTTTAGGAAGATACGGAAGAACTGAATTTTCATCTGGGTCATGCTCTAATGCTTCTAGAAGAAAAAGGGTGTTGGTTAAAGGGACGGTGGGATTGGAGGAAGGAGTTGTGGAAAGTGGGAAGAGAGTGAATGAAAGTGAAGGGTTTGATGCAATTGTTATTGGGTCTGGGATTGGTGGGTTGGTTGCTGGGACTCAGTTGGCTGTGAAAGGTGCTAGAGTTTTGGTTTTGGAGAAGTATGTTATTCCTGGTGGAAGCTCTGGGTTTTATCAAAGGGATGGTTATACTTTTGATGTTGGCTCTTCTGTCATGTTTGGTTTCAGTGATAAGGTCAGTTCCTTTTAGTGAAAAAAAAAAAAGAATTTTGTATTTTGTTAAGGCTATGTTTGGATATTATAAAATGAACCAAGTGGAATGAAGCAGAGCATAATGTATCAGAGCTAAATGAAGATTCCATTCTATAGTTTGAAAATTTTAGAACAGAAGACAAAATTTTCATTCCCACCCAAATCGGAGGGGAAGAAATATAAATGGAATGTAATCCATACCACTCCATTGTTCCGTCCCATCCGATTTTAAATGATCCAAATAATGGAATACCACTCTTTCCATTCCATCGATCTAAACAAAGCCTTAAGAGTCAATGTTATAGTGAAGGAATTTGATTGTATGTCTTATTGAGAAAGCTTATGTCACTCTTCTTGTTTTTCACCTTGTTGGAAAGAGCTTATGCTTTTCAGGATAGCTTATGAAACCTAGTTAAAAGCTTATGCTTTTCATGAATTGTCTTAAATTTGTGTAGGGTAATCTCAATTTGATAACACAAGCATTGGAGGCAGTTGGCTGTCGGATGGAAGTAATACCTGATCCAACGACAGTTCATTTCCATCTACCCAACCACCTCTCAGTTCGAGTGCATAGAGAATATGATAAGTTTATCGAAGAATTGACGAGTTATTTTCCCCACGAAAAGGATGGCATACTCAACTTCTATGGCGAATGCTGGAAGGTTTGTCTTAATTGAGGTGACTGCAGACCCCTGTAAGGCATTTTTGCCTCAAATTATAATTAGTTTTTTTTAACAAAGCTTTTATGTTTGATGGCTAGATTTTCAATGCCCTGAATTCGTTGGAGTTGAAGTCGCTAGAGGAGCCACTCTACCTTTTCGGCCAGTTTTTTCAGAAACCGCTCGAATGCTTAACATTAGGTACTTTCATTTCTTATATGTTTGTTTTGGATATGAGGCTACAAAGCTAAAATCATAAACTCCAATTTCGAGAGTAGTTTTGGTTTCTATTTCCATCTTGCATATTTTCTTAGTATTTGATTGGTAGGGCCATTAACTTTTCTGATGACATTATTATATGACAGCATATTATTTGCCACAAAATGCTGGAGCGATAGCCCGGAAGTATATTAAGGATCCACAGTTGTTATCTTTCATAGATGCAGAGGTAGATACAATTAGTTATTGAGTTCAGTCGTAAGATTTACCTATTTTTTGTGGAGTTATCCTATGAAACGTGTTTCAAATGACTTGGAGTTACTAAATGAAAGAAAAATTGATTGGTGTCTGTTGAATAATGAGAGAACAAGAGAAAAGTTAGATTGAATCCGTGTGTTTGCATTACCCAGCGGAGCTCATTATATATAATAAGAGGAATAAATGTCATAGTAATTACATAATATTTTATTTCCTATTTACACGATATCATAATTACTTATAGAATATTCGTTTTACATAATATAGAATATTCCGATATCTAACACTCCCCCTCAAGCTGGAGCATATATGTTATATGCACCAAGCTTGTCACAAATATAATTAATTCAAAGACCTTTTAAAGACTTAGTGAAAACATCAGCTAACTGATCATTATAATTGACAAAACTAGTGCTGACATCTCCAGATAAAATCTTCTCTCCGATGAAATGACAATCAATTTTAATGTGTTTGGTTCTCTCATGGAACACTGGATTTGATGCAATATGCAGAACTGCCTGATTGTCACAAATAAGTGTCATCTGTGAAACATCCCCGAATCTCAGGTCGTGAAGCAACTGTTTGAGCCATATAAGCTCACAGGTTGTTGTTGCCATGGCTCGACATTCTGCTTCTGCACTTGACCTTGCCACTACACTTTGTTTCTTACTCTTCCAGAAAATTAAGTTACCACCCAAGAAAACATAATAACCTGAGGCAGATCTCCTATCAGAAGGAGAACCTACCCAATCTGCATCTAAGTATCCTACAACTCGAGTGTGTCCCTTGTCTTCATAAAGTAAGCCTTTTCCAGGAGCTCCTTTAATATATTTTAAGATGCGAATCACAGCTTCCCAATGCCCTTCACAAGGAGAGTTAAGAAATTGACTTACCACACTAACAGGAAATGAAATATCTGGGCGAGTAATTGTGAGGTAATTCAGTTTTCCAACTAATCTTCTATATTCTTCAGGATCGGAGAGTGGCTCTCCCTGAGCTGGCATAAGTTTAGCATTGGGATCCATCGGAGTGTCAACTAACTTGGCATTTATCAATCCTGTCTCCTCCAAAATATCCATAGCATACTTCTTTTGTGAAATTACAATCCCCTGTTTGGATTGGGCAATCTCTATGCCCAAGAAATAACGAAGTCTGCCGAGGTCTTTTGTCTGGAAATAGTGACAAAGGTGTTGTTTTACCTGTGTGATTCCATGATGATCATTACCTGTAATGACAATGTCGTCCACATACACAATTAAGTAAATACACCCAACAACTGAGTGACGCTAAAACACTGAGTGATCAACTTCACATCGCGTCATATCAAACTGTTGAATAACAGTGCTAAAATCTCTCAAACCAAGCCCTAGGAGATTGCTTAAGACCATACAAAGACTTCCGAAGACGGAAAACTAATACAAAGACTTCCGAAGACGGAAAACTAGTCCAGAAGACTCCCCCTGGGCAACAAACCTAGGAGGTTGCTCCATATAAACTTCCTCACACAGATCACCATGGAGGAATGCATTCTTGATGTCAAGCTGGTAAAGGGGCCAGTGGCGAATAGCTGTCATAGAGAGAAATAATCGAACCGAGGCCATTTTAGCCACGAGAGAGAAGGTGTCACCATAATCTAGGCCAAACATCTGTGTATAACGTTTGGCCACTGAACGTGCCTTGAGACGATCAACTTGTCCATCAGGCCCAACTTTGACTGTGAAAACCCACCTGCAACCTACAACAGATTTCCCAAGAGGAAGACAAGGTCCCACGTGCCATAAAGCATCACCTGAGGAAGAGAAGGTCCCACGTGCCATAAAGCATCACCTACAGTCTTAGGAATAGACACAAAAGACAAAGAGGAAATACAAGCATAATGCAAAAAAGACAAGCGATGATAAGACAAATTAACATAATGAGGAGATGGATTACGAGCGGAACGTATACTTTTGCAAAGTGCAATTGGGAGATCAGTCTCAGGGGGCAGGGCCGAAGGGGACGGAGGAGTTGGATCCGGAGAGGAGTCTATGGTGATTTCTGCATTAGCTGATTGTAGTGGTGGTGGCTGTGGTAAACACTGATAAACTTGCAAAGGAGCTGAAGGGGGTGGATTGGCTGACAACGGAGACAGAACTATGTTTGGTGGGGCAGTAGTGGGAGGTGAAGAAAACATGGGTGATGGGGATTCGGGACCCTGTAGACGTCCCAAAGTAAGGGACTGACTCAAAGAATGTGGCATCAGCAGAGACGAAATATCGACGAAGAGACGAGGTGTAACATTTATATCCCTTTTGGGATCTTGTGTAGCCTAACAACACACACTTATGAGAATGAGCTGAGAGTTTGTCTAGCCCAGGACTAATATTATGGACAAAACATGTAGACCCAAAGACTCTAGGTTGTAAGGAGTGAAGAGACTGGTGAAGAAATAGAATAGAGTAAGGGATTTGATTGTTGAGGACAGAGGATGACATCTTGTTTATGAGATAACAAGCCGTAAGGACAGCATCACCCCAAAAATGTTGAGGAATATTATTGTGAAGCAAGACTGTCCTAGTGATTAAGTGTCTATTTTTACGTTCAGCGACCCCGTTTTGTTGTGGTGTGTGAGCACAAGTTGTTTGATGAAGCATATCGTTAGTAGCCATGAAAGTTTGAAATTGAGTAGATAAATATTCTCGAGCATTGTCATTGTGCAAAGTACTAATGGAAATACCAAACTGATATTTGATTTCAGTATAGAATGTTTGAAAAATAACAAATAACTCAGATCGATTTTCCATTAAAAATAACCAAGTACATCAAGAATAATCATCGATGAAAGTAACAAAATACTTAGACTCTAAAGTGGAAACAATGCGATTAGGACCCCAAACATCCGAATGAACTAGAGCAAACGGAGACTTAGACTGACGATTGACACGACTCGGAAAAGAACTACGAACATGTTTTCCTAACTGACTAGACTCACAAGACAACGTAGATAACTTGGAAAGGTTTGGCACCAACTTTTGTAACTTTGCAAGACTTGGATGTCCTAACTAAGCATGAACCAGGAGAGGAGAATCCACCACGGAACCAGCCTGTGCAGATGGTTGAAGAAGATAAAGACCATTAGACTCACATCCGGTGTCAATCATCCGTCTCGAACTCCGGTCCGGTAAGAAAAAAGAATCTTTGGTGAATGAGATAGTACAATCAAGAGATCGAGTCAAACGACTTAGAGACAATAAGTTAAACGGAGATCCGGGTACATAAAGAACATTAGTAATGGAGAGCGAGGGAAAAAGGTGGATAGTACCAGTACCCTGAGATTGAGTTTGGGAGCCATTTGCTAATGTGACAAAGGGTAATATAAACCGGAAGTAAAGAATGAAGAAAAAAGGGATTTATAACCAGTAATGTGATCAGTGGCGCCTGAATCAAGGATCCATGGGCCAATAGATGTGGAGTGAGAAAGACCAGCAAAAGAATACCCGTGTGCGCAACAGAGACAGTGGAACTAGCGGCCTGACGCTCCTCATACCACTTGATAAAGTCGTTGAAGATAGCAGGTGAGGTGGCAGGATAGGTCGGAGTAGCTGCCTGTGGAGGTGGAGCAGTCTGGGCAACGTGGGCAGTCCGAGGAGAGGGACGTCCATGTAAAGCATAACACCGACCAATAGTGTGACCAAGCTTATGCCAATGATCACACTTAGGACGAGGCTTTTCTGTCTTCTGAAAGTGGCCACAATCACCACCCGGAGCACGATTACCTCCCTGAGAACCAAAACAGATAAATCAACTGGTGTGGGTGCCACTCCGCCGTCAGATGATGATTTTGCTGGGACACGCAGCAAGGTAGACCATGCAGTATCCAGAGTGGGGATTGTAGGAGATCCCAATATCTGATCACGAACAGACGAATACGCTGGAGGTAAGGCATACAGAGCTAGAAGCATGAAGAAGGATCGGTGTTGCTCAAGTTCCTTAGCAGTGGTGGCAGCTCGGGGCAACAATTCATTGAAATCATGAAAGAGGGCTTGAACACGGCCCAAGTATTCAGCCATAAAATTATCCAGGCGACGAGGGGAAATAATATTCTGCAAATTTTGACATACTCCATATAAGCGTTGTGTATCATTGGTATAAAGGATCTTAGCCCGTGCCCAAACAGACTCGCAAGTCTCATGAGAGCGAAAGATCTGTTTCAAGGATGGACTAATGGTCAACTTAATGAGACTGCAGAGTTGGGTATCAATTTTCTTCCAACGAGCACTGTCAGTGGCAGCACTGAGTCAGCCTTCGTAGTGAGGTGATCTTCATAGGCTTGTCCCCAGAGCCATAACTTGACGTCGGAAGCCCAAGAATCATAGTTAGTACCGTCCAGTTTGTCAACGGGAAGAGCAATAGTGATGTAACTTGTGAAAATAGGGGCCTCAGCCCTTGGAGGGGGATTGGCAGCCATCCAAAGTGTTGTAATATTAGTATTATTATTATTAGAATATGTTGAATATCATACAGCTCATTATGAGCTGGTATCCTATACAACTTATTATGAATAATTAGCATTTATAGGAGAATAATTACACCCTTATTTAGATAGATGTATAGTCTATAAATACCTCTTATGTATTCTTTACAAGATATATAAAATATTTTCATATTTCTACATGGTATCAGAGCTCCCGATTCTAGGGGCTCTGCTTCCGCGCTCAAAACACTAGCCGTTCTTATTACGGTCCTTTTTTTTTTCAAGGTTCCCTTTCTCTTGGAACCCTAGTGATCTTGGTGACTTTGCAGCCATCGTGCACCGCTCAACCGCCGTTGCAGATCCGGACGTTTTCACCTTCATCTTTTTTTTTAGGACAGCCTTCATTGCCGTACCTCTATTTACTTGCTGTTTGCAGCCCTTGATTGTTCGGTTGTCATCGTTGTTGGTGTTTCTAATTGGCAGCCCTTCGATCCTCTCCTAACAGTAGATCTCGATCCTCTCCTGGTTCGAGACGGTTTGTTTCTCTCTATGGACTCCTTGAGTAAGTTCTCTAACACTAGTTCTCTGACCATGATGGGTAAGAATTCTAGCTCCTTAGCTTTTAATGCCTCTTGTTCTAAAGATATCTGGATTATTGACTCTGGTGCAACTGATCACATGACTCCATATATGTCATATCTCTCTTCTTATTCACCTTTACCTAATAAAAGCCATATTACCGTTGCAAATGGGTCTCAAACCCCGATTGTCGGATCTGGTAACATCCACCTAAGCCCATCTCTCCACCTAAATGATGTGCTTCATGTCCCTAAGCTTTCTAACAATCTTTTGTCCATCCATAAACTCACTAAAGACTTGAACTGTGTAGTAACCTTTTTTCATTCTCATTGTGTTTTTCAGGATCTTGCCACAGGTAAGACGATTGGAATTGCTGAGGAACAGAACGGGTTATATTGTCTGCCTCATAAGGAAAGTAAGTGTCATCAGGCTGGTTCAGAGTCATGGGCAAATGCTCAAATATGGCTCCAACACAGGCGTCTTGGACATCCTCCTTTCCAGATGCTCAGGTCTCTATTCCCTCACTTATTTACCAAAGTGTCTGTTGATTCCTTTCATTGTGATGTGTGTCAGTTTGCCAAATCTCATCGAGCAACCTATTCCCCTAGTAATACTAGGAGTGTCGAACCCTTTGATCTTGTTCATTCTGATGTATGGGGGCCTTCATCTATTTCCAATATTTCTGGGGCAAAATGGTATGTTACCTTTATTGATGATTGTACTCGGGTTACATGGGTTTTTCTTATGAAAGATAAGTCTGAAGTGTGTCAATTGTTTGTTAACTTTTTTCAAATGGTCAAAACACAGTTTGGAAAACCTATTAAACGGTTACGGTCAGACAATGGTAAGGAGTATGTAAACCAAAATTTTTACAATTTTCTCAAAACTAATGGTGTTGTTCATGAGTTGACTTGTGTTAACACTCCACAACAAAATGGGGTTGCTGAAAGAAAAAATCGTCATCTTCTTGAAATCACCCGAGCATTACGCTTTCAAATGAATGTTCCTAAATTTTATTGGGGGGAAGCTGTCTTGACCTCTGCTTATTTAATCAATAGGTTACCTTCTAGGGTGTTATCTGGTGTTAGTCCTGTGCAGGTCCTGACTCAATTCTTTCCGTCTGTGCCCATCTTGTCAAGTCTTCAGAATCGTGTCTTTGGTTGTTCTGTCTTTGTCCATGTTCATGGCCCTCATCGAGGTAAGTTAGATCCTCGAGCTATTAAATGTATTTTCATAGGATATGCTTCAGATAAGAAGGGGTACAAGTGTTATCATCCTCCTAGTCGTCGTGTCTATATATCCATGGATGTTACTTTTCAGGAATCAGAGTCTTTTTATCCCAATCCTCAGCTTCAGGGGGAGAATAATCAAGAAGCTGAGTCTTCAGAGTTGTCTATTCTTCCTGTTATTCCTCTAATACAGGACCCAGAGTCGTCTCCTGAATTGTCTGTTCTTCCTGTTATTCCTGTAATACAAGAGCCTTTGATGCCTAATGAGGATGGTGGTGATGTATCAATACCGGTGCATAATAATGATGAGGATGGTGGTGATGTACCAATACCAGTGCATAATAACGTTGACAGATACAAGTTACAGTTCCAGCGAAAAAGGTGGAAAGGTAAACCCGTTCTGCCCCAACAAGTCCAATCGTCTGAACCTGAGGTAAGTGTTCCTAACCCTGAGCCTAGTAATTCTTGTGAGCTGAACCTTGATGACCTACCTATTGCTTTGAGAAAAGAAAAAAGGTCTTGTACTAAATACCCTATATCCCAGTTTGTGTCTACTGAAAAACTTTCTGTGCAGCATCAGAGTTTTATTTCAGCTATTGACTCTATTAGAGTCCCTACATCAGTACAAGAAGCATTAAAGGATAAGAACTGGATTCAAGCCATGAATGAAGAGATGCAGGCACTAGAGAAAAATGGGACTTGGGAGATTATTGAGAAGACAAATGACAAGAGGCCAGTAGGTTGCAGATGGATATATACGGTAAAATACCGATCCGACGGCACACTGGACAGATATAAGGCGAGGCTAGTAGCAAAGGGATACACCCAGACCTATGGAATTGATTATGAAGAGACATTTGCTCCAGTAGCAAAAATGAACACTGTAAGAATCATTCTTTCCTTGGCAGCTCACTTTGATTGGGAGTTGCAACAGTTTGATGTGAAAAATGCTTTCTTGCATGGAGATTTGAAGGAAGAGGTGTATATGGAGATCCCACCTGGATATGACCCTACTTTAGGAAGTAATAAGATTTGCAGATTAAAGAAGGCCATATATGGGCTCAAGCAATCACCTCGAGCTTGGTTTGGAAGGCTCACTCATGTTATGGTGTCCTTGGGTTATAAACAAAGCCAAGGTGATCATACTCTCTTTATAAAGCATTCTCAAAATGGTAAACTCACTCTTTTGTTAGTCTACGTAGATGATATGATCATAGCAGGTAATGATGAATTTGAGAAGATGAACTTGAGGAAGAAGTTGGCAGCTCAGTTTGAAATGAAGGACCTTGGAAAGTTGAAATATTTCCTAGGTATGGAAGTAGCATACTCAAAACAAGGCATTTTCATTTCTCAGAGAAAATATGTCCTTGACCTTCTCAAAGAGACTGGCAAGTTGGGTTGTAAACCCAGCAGAGTGCCTATAGAGCAAAACCACAGGATTGGGAGTGATGAGGAAAGTCCAAGGGTTGATAAAGCTCAATACCAGAGACTTGTGGGAAAGCTCATTTATCTATCTCACACCAGGCCTGACATAGCTTATCCGGTTAGTGTTGTCAGTCAATTCATGCATGATCCACAGGAGAGGCACTTACAGGCTGTGGATAGAATCCTGCAGTATTTAAAGATGAGCCCAGGAAGAGGTCTATTGTTCAAGAAAAGTGAGCAGTTGTCTATGGAGGTCTATACTGATGCAGATTATGCAGGGTCGATTGTTGACAGGAGATCCACCACTGGATATTGTATGTTCTTAGGTGGAAACTTAGTGACATGGAGGAGCAAGAAACAAAATGTAGTTGCCAGATCAAGTGCAGAGGCAGAGTTTAGAGCCATGGCTCAAGGAGTTTGTGAATTGTTGTGGATGAAGATTATTCTAGATGACTTGAAAATAAAATATGAAGCTCCTATGAGACTTTTCTGTGATAATAAGTCTGCTATTAGTATTGCTCACAATCCGGTCCAACACGACAGAACAAAGCATATAGAGATAGACCGACACTTCATCAAAGAGAAATTGGACAGTGGTCTTATTTCTACACAGTACGTCCCATCAGGACTCCAGTTAGCTGATGTGCTCACCAAAGGACTCCCCTTAGAGCGGTTTCGAGATCTTACTTGCAAGCTGGGGATGATAGATATCCATTCCTCAGCTTGAGGGGGAGTGTTGTAATATTAGTATTATTATTATTAGAATATGTTGAATATCATACAGCTCATTATGAGCTGGTATCCTATACAACTTATTATGAATAATTAGCATTTATAGGAGAATAATTACACCCTTATTTAGATAGATGTATAGTCTATAAATACCTCTTATGTATTCTTTACAAGATATATAAAATATTTTCATATTTCTACACAAAGACGGTAAGAGAAGTGACCAAAAAACTGTAGATCCGAGAGGGAATATGGAGATCTAGAAATAATTGTAGATCCGAGGAGACGAGAGGCAGCCGCGGGAGAAGCCGGAAACCGGAGATGAAGCACGGTTATCGGAATTTTTTTTTTTGGTGCCGATAGACAGTGGGTCTATCGGGAAAGCACGGATTAGGGTTGCCTCTTGTTAGGCTCTAGATACCATGTTGAATAATGAGAGAACAAGAGGAAAGTTGGATTGAATCCGTGTGTTTGAACTACACAGCAGAGCTCATTATATATAATAAGAGGAATAAATGTCATAGTAATTACATAATATTCTATTTTCTATTTACACCATATCCTAATTACTTACGGAATATTCTATTACATAATACAGAATATTTCGATATTTAACAGTGTCGATTCTGAAAAAGACATTGAAGCTAAAATAAAAATGCCACATTAGCTTTTCATGATGGTTTTTTTACATGTTAATTAGCAATACTCATTCATTAATTATTCAGTTTATTGACTTATGATTGACAAGTTTATTGACTTATGATTGACAATTTTCATTCACGAAAACTCTGTTATTGCAGTGTTTTATCGTCAGCACTGTCAATGCTTTGCAGACTCCAATGATCAATGCTAGCATGGTAACTTGTTCACCTAGCCTTTTGTGTTCTTTAATTTTATGCAATTGTCCTTTTGAAAGTGTCTAGAAGAAAAGTTATGCTTCCATTTTGTTGCAAGATCATTTAATGACGAGATAACCAAAATAAAATTGACTTGAATTTGAACCGACATTGACTGCTTTTGGTTAAGTAGGTTTACAAATAGTTTAGTATATAATTTATGCTTTTGAGCATGTAAAATGAAAATCCCATCCTTCTAGCCTTAAGTTTTTTAGAGACCCTGCATAGATTAGTCGTAGTTTATATACGGAAAAACAAATAGAGACTGTATTTAATCACAGTTTAATCGTTATAAACATTTTATGAAATCCTATTTAACCATGGGTTAACTGTGACAAATTTGGGGTCATGTGCGGTAGCCCTCCTTGCACGTTCTCAAAGACGGTCTTAAAAGAAAATAAATAGTAATTTTACCAAATTAACCTGATAAACTATTGATGCATTCATTATTACCACAGACATTGAGTGAGAGTGATGCATATAATATTAATTAAGAGGTACAATAGGAACCTAGGGGTGTGCTTCTCTCTAGGTCTCAAATTCGAATTCCCCAGGTGCCAACAACTCCCGTGTTGGGTCATTCCATACAGAATTTCACTCTAACATCAATCGGCCCCTCGCTAGTGGACGGTGGGGTTGGTCTCTCAAATTAGTCGGTCTTTGGGCTTAGATTCTGAGTTTTTTTTTTTTTTTTTTTTTTTTTATAAAAAGGGGTACTATTGGAAAAAAGTAATTAATATTACAGCGAAAACTAAAAGTAGCATTGATTTTAGGTCAGATTTTTTTTATGCACGTGACAGTTATTATGTGATGGATGCAGTACTATGTTTTGGACCTGTTGTTTTCCTATCTAATAAATAACTTATTTTAAAATAATGAAACGTTGATGTATAAGCACTTTCAAAAATGCCACGGTGACAATTAACGTGGTTTGAAATAAAAGCTTGTTTGCAAGTCAAAATAGTGAAAACACCAATGTCAAGTAGTGTAAAGTTGCATAGTTCACCTATGTCTATATTTCCCGCTTCTCTATTTGATTTATTTTTTTTTCTACAGGTTCTGTGTGACAGACACTTTGGTGGGATTAACTATCCTGTTGGGGGTGTTGGTGGCATTGCAAAGTCGTTGGCAAAAGGTCTAATTGATCAGGGTAGTCAGATACTTTACAAAGCGAATGTCACGAGTATTATCACTGAGCAGAGCAAAGCCGTAAGTGAGATATAATACTAGCAATGAGGATCACATGTTTAGACAGTTATGTATTTTTGTTTCTCAAGATTTGTAGTTGCACTATACTTTTGCAGGTAGGAGTGAGGCTTTCCGATGGCAGAGTGTTCTTTGCCAAAACCATAATATCAAATGCTACCAGATGGGACACATTTGGTTGGTTTCAAATATTAATGTTTATAAGTTTTTTGTTAATGTTTGGATGATTTTTATCGTGTATCTTTCTCCGCCTTCATTAATTCTTAGAGTTAATTCCAAATTGCATAATGTTACATTGCAGGAAAGTTAATAAAAGAAGAATCACTTCCAAAAGAGGAAGAGAACTTTCAGAAAGTTTATGTTAAAGCTCCGTCTTTTCTTTCAATCCACATGGGGGTTAAAGCAGAAGTTTTGCCACTAGATACAGATTGTCACCATTTCGTGCTTGAGGTAGTTGGAAGATAATGCTGTAACAAAGAGGCCTTTGAATTAAAATAACCGTTTGTCTTTCATTTGCACCTATCTAGGACAATTGGACCAAATTGGAAGAGCCTTATGGTAGTATCTTTTTGAGTATACCAACTATACTCGATTCTTCATTAGCTCCTAAAGGTCGTCACATCCTTCATATATTCACAACTTCTTCCATGGACGACTGGAAGGTAGGCTACGACTTAAAAGAAACTAAGTTTTTCCTCTTGCCTTCCGTTTTGTTCTTTTGCTGTTACACGTAAATCAATCTCGAAATATAAAACATCCTTGTTTTCTGTTCCAGGGTCTCTCGAGAATTGAATACGAGGCAAAGAAGCAGGTGGTAGCAGATGAAATCATAAGCAGATTAGAGAAGAAGTTGTTTCCAGGTCTTAAATCATCCATCGAATTTATAGAGGTAAAGCTAAAACCCGACCTCATTCTTTTAGCCCTATGTTTTTTTTTCTTTCTCCTTGTACCTTTTAACCCTCAACTCTAACTCTAGGTAGGGACACCAAAGACACATCGACGATATCTAGCTCGTGACGAGGGTACTTATGGACCAATGCCACGCAGCATTCCGAAGGGGTTATTAGGAATGCCATTTAATACGACAGTAAGTCTACTTTCAAAAAATTGATTGAATTACAGATTTGGTTCTAGAACATCCTGCTATGCTATGCTTTAAGAATGAATACACTGATTAAAACTCGATAAACTCGCTTTCAGAGCATAGATGGTCTTTACTGTGTTGGAGACAGTTGCTTCCCTGGCCAAGGTGTTATTGCTGTAGCTTTCTCAGGAGTTATGTGTGCTCATCGAGTAGCTGCGGATATTGGTAAGCCAGAGCTTTCACATCCCATAGCTTGAAACTGCTCACAAATTGAAATTATATAATGATGAAAAGAAAAATATTCATTATTCCATAGCTTCAATATTGTCGCGCATTTGTATAATTTAAATGCGGATCCAAACACATTTAATAATTATATTAAATTATTCTTAACTAGTATTACTCTTATGGCACTGGTGTATAAGTTTCGATCAATTGAAATCTGTTAAAAAAGCCAATTAAATATCTTTTTACTTGAGTTTTAACATTCTTGATATTGATAATTTTTATTTAAAAAACAGGGTTGGAGAAAAAGTCACCTGTTTTAGACACCATGCTGCTTCGGTTGCTCGGTTGGTTCAGGACACTGGCATGAGTGTTATAATTTGTTCGATCCGTGAGTCTATGTATTATCATGTATAACACTACCATTTTTTTTTATAGTTTCTATATTTTTTGTCGAGGGAGGAAAACAGATTCCTCACATTTACAGTTATAGAACTAGGGCGTCCGATCAAACAAATCACACTCTGAGATGTATTTTAAAGCAAACTTTGTGAAGTTGGACTTGTGAGTTGTTCCGTCGCAATTCAGTGGCCAAGGTTGCTTAGCTGCGTGCAGTTGCGTGGTTCTATAAGTGCAAAAGAATCCAAATTCACGAGCTGAGGGGCTGTGAAGTGTAAAATGTAAATGATCTCTGTATGTTCAGTTTTCTTTTATCCGAACAGATTTATATTTAATACATGATATCCTTGCTGTAACTGCATTTTATCAGCTGAATCATATCCAAACAAAAAATAATAATATAGATGATTTGCTCTTTTGATGTTTGGTTAGTTTGTTAGGGGTTAGGTTGTCGATAGCGCGCTATAGCGGCATAGCATAGTGGAACCGGGCCTCACCGCGACGCTTTTGGGCTGCTAAGTGCTATCTGCGATAGCGGGAATAGCCGCCGCTATTTGTGGCGTTGTTGCGGCGCTTTCGCGGCGCAATCGCAGTTCTGTAGCGGTTTGCAAACTGCTATTGTAAAGATTAGGGTAAATTTGTAGATTCATTTTTTTTTATGGTCAAATTGGTAATATAAAAGCACTAGTGTTTGCTTTAGGTCATTTCACGGTTTTTTTGCCGCATGTTTGCATTTCATAAAGCCATCGCAAAACTTCCTCGCACAACTTCTTCGACATTCTTCTGATCAGTTTCTTCACCTTTCTCATCCATTCCCAACAGATTTCTCCTCTGTTTTGCTGTGTCTTCTCCTTTGTTTTGCTCTTTTGCTGCGTTGCTCTTTTTTTCTTTCATTAGCAACCATGGCATCATCTTCTACAAATGTGACAAACTTCCAAAAGCAAGAATTACTAGACATCACACTAGACTTGCTACATTAGTGTCTAATGGAGATGAGGAGTTGAAGGTGGAAGAAGAAAGGTTTGAATCAAGTGATGAGCAAGATGATTTTAATGTGGCGGAACTTAGAAGTGAAGATGAGGCAGACGCGGTTATGGTTTTGTCGTTGTGTTTACGCTTTGAATTTGGTTTAGTTATTTGGAGTACATTTATAATTTGATTTTGATGGGAACTTAAATTGACGGTACTGCTGGAATTTGTGTGTTGTTGCAACTTCTGTTTTTAAGGATTATGCATGTCGTTGGAACTTATTTTAAGTATTTATGTTTTTATGTTAAGTATATACCTTGGTTTTTAAAGATCACAATAGCGGTCATCCTGCAATCCGCTAGGCCGCTATAGCATTTTTGGGGTCCGGTGCTACGCGTCCTATCCGAGATTAACAACCTAGGTTAGGGGGTGGGGGAATTTGTTAGCAACATAAATCAAAATCAAACCCTACACCTCATTCTTAATACTGCCAATGTTACTTTTATTGCTGTCAAATTTGGTTTACACTTAACTTGACTAATATGTAGCAAGCAAATTAACCTATTCCACTATAGCAGTTACAAACCTTGGGTCCTCGAAACATTTTTTCGAAAGAGTTAATCTGTTTTCACAAAAAAAAGAAAAACTCTCCAGGTATTGATGTGTTTACTATAACATCTAGCATACATGCATTGTTGCATTTCAACATGTTAAATGAAATACAATATACACATGATTGAACAAAAAAGGCCAGAAGTTTCAGCCTCGCCATATTGCCTGCATGCACGAGCCTTCATTTAAAATCACTCCTCATGCAGATATGAAGCACTTTTCCTGGATAATTGTAACTTGTAACCTCTACTGAAGTTTCATTCGTCGCAATGAAAGATATGCCAAGAAACGGTAACCGAAAACCATAGCAATTAGAGCAGCTACTTCTGTTAAACCACTGTCAATTTTAACTCCGTTTACGATAGGTGTGAAATGTTCATATTGCACCTTGAGTAACAGTTTGTAAGTGTGGTAGTTGAAAGACATGTAGCGGATCCAAGAAATGAATATTGGGACTTTCTGCAAAATTTTGCACCACATGTTAAAATTCATCTGTTAGCTTTTTGATCATAGAATTTAGGTATGCATGTATTTTTACCTGGACGAAAAATCCTCCGGCCAGCATGAAGGTCATCACAGTTACTGAAGCCAAAGTTGTGGCTCTTTTCAAATCCATAAGCGTAGCACCGATAGCAAGTCCAAGACCCTATTTCAAAACCAGCCATTGTTAGCATTGTAAGCTAGCTATTTTAGTCAATGTTTTAAAAACTGAACCAGCGAAACCGAAACCAATAAGTCATAGTTCAACTGCCTTAAATTGCTCAAACCAGGATGAAACTGCAATTGAAACACAAAACATAACCCTTTTGGTTCAGTTTCTAAAACACTGATTTTTCTTTTTATTGTATTGCCTTGTTAGTAGTTTCTGAAAAATGTATACCTGTGCTGCAATGATGCAGAGGAAAACAGTAAGGATGGTGAAGAAAAAGGGAGCAGCACTTAGTCTCAAACCAGCCATGAAGTAAACAACAAGGAGAAAAAGCACTGGTAGTATCAAGTCTAACGGAAGATCGCTTGTTGTTCTAGCAAGGAAGTACGCACTTAATCTGTACATATCCGCTGCACGTTCCTTATTCAACATGGCTCTCTCTTGAGGAAATGTAAATATTGCTGTGAAAACCGGAAAGAATCCCCAGAAGACAGCAATAAAGAAAAGTAAACCTGCCTACAAACCACAAATGTTAATATGTTAGCATAAGATGCTCATATCTTACGATGCGTTTGAAAGAGCTCGTTCAATCGATGGTTAAATTTGTCTAACAGAAGTATTTTACCTGATCTTGCAGGTCTTTTGGGTTTTTAACATCTGATTGCCACCAGAGTAATCCTAAGATGATTGCGGTGGATAAAACTTGTGTGATTCTCAACCAGCTAAAATAGTCATGCCTCCTTTCCTTGATTCCTCTCCAAAAAAGTATGGAAAATTGTTCGTCCCAACTCGCTCCCCATTGTCTTTTAGGAGAACTCGCTTTGGCCTTCAAAGCTTCATCCAGAGGTAAAGAAACCACTGTTTTTTTCTTCTCCGTTTCCGCAACTTGAGATTCGTATGCCTCCACTAGATACTGTTAAAAGTTCACATGTTCAAAAAACTCTCAATGCCTGATACAGACACGACACTGGTATATAGGCACCAATAATAATTTGAAGAAATGGAAGAGACTGAATGTAACTACATGCACGTGCCGGTGTTGTAGTAAAGGCAAAAATGAAATGTTACCTCATGGACTACCGCTGGTGATGGTTTTCCATTATATTTTTCAACTTCTGCATTTCCCATCTGCACTTTATCCTCCAACTCTGATGGTACGGAAACATCATTTATGTTTCCATTCGCAAGGTCTAGCAAAAACTCGGCTGGATTCATGGAAATAAGCGGGGAACATCCTATAGATTGGAAGTAATTCATTGCTTCTGATGCTTTTCCAAAGTAAAGCAAACTCCCTTTCCCAAGAAGGATCAACTTGTCGAATTTGTGGAAGAGTCTACTCGATGGTTGGTGAATTGTTGTCACTACTGTTTTACCAGCCTACCATATAGTTAACAGGTTAGTCATGAAAAATTATCGTGCTATGCTATGCTTCGATATTTAATAGTAAGTTCAAGTTTTTGTTTTTGGATCGGATGCTATTCTTCGATATTTAATACCTCTGCTATGTCTTGCAGCATCTGGACGATCTTCAAGGCTGTTGTTGAATCCAAACCCGAAGTTGGTTCATCAAGAAACAAAATGGAAGGGTTGATTATGATCTCATTGCCAATACAAACTCTCTTCCTCTCTCCACCAGACACTCCACGAACAAATGAACCACCAATCATAGTATCTTGGCACCTGTTTTCACGTATACAATACAAAACTATTGGCTTCTATAACTTAAAAATAACATCAGGATATCGGTTATAATGCTTATATGTTTTTTATGCTTATAGTAGTAATTTTGAGACCATTTATTTACCTCTCCAAGCCAAGCTCATAGATGACATCTAAAGCTCTTTTTTCCTTTTGCTCTTTAGTGAAGCTTTTTGGAAGCCGTAACCGCGCTGCGTATGTCAATGTCTCTTTCACAGTTAGGTGAGGAAATAAAACATCATCTTGCGTCACAAATCCTATCCTGCGATATTACACGAGGTAAACCAAACCAAACTACTCGTTAGTTCTATCAGAAGGCACTGTCTGGTATGTTTTTAACTTAAATACCATATTCAAGTTTCATTTTTTATTATGTTACTTCAGAATTTTCACCTGCTCTTAAGGAACTTTGAGTATGATTCTTCATTGTATGTGATAGAACCACCAATTGTTGGGTGACTTATCCTTCCTCCAAGGAGATTTAAAAGACTTGTCTTTCCACTTCCTGAGGGACCCATCAATGCCAAAACTTCACCTGGATTTACAGAACCACTGATCCCATTCAAGATATCTTTCTCAACACTTGATGTCATGCCTCTCAGCACTACCTTGTAGGTCACATCATTGAACTGCATATTCCACAATAAGTATATAATTCATTAAGTGGGATCCATCACCATAAACACAACATAAACTATAAGGTCTAAGCAGAGCCGTCTCAAGTTTTTGCAGACCCTGTGTAGGTTAGCCGCAGTTTAAACAAGTAGAAGTCCTATTTAACTACGATTTGATCATGATAGTATTTGCGGCCCTATTTAACCACCGTTTAACTGTGACAAATTTTGGATCTTGTGCGGTAGTCTGCCTTGCACGCCCTCAAAGATAGTTCCTGGTCTAAATATCTAAATTGATCCTTAAAATTGTATGATTGTATCAATTTAGTCCTTCATATTATCGGTATCACAATAAGTATATGCCTATTAAAAAAAATAAAGTGCATAATACTTTAATAACTTGAAAAATAACATTTTTTTACTAACAGTAAACACTTGTTATTTTACACTTGAAACTTTTTACAAGATCGAACTGGACCGTGCTATTGCTAGCCGTGTTCTACTTGGCCTTGTTGAAAGCTTCATTCATCCTCGCCTGCTCAAATACACAGGGCCACATCAATCTCATGATATGTTGAAGGCTTGAGCCCTGGCAGAGCTAGGTGCAAGAATATTCGAAACGAAAAAAAAAAACTATGACATGTAAAATTTGTATAGTAATTTTTTACCTTTAGATTTATAGGAAGAGTAGGTTCTGTTTGAAACTTTGTCTTTGTCCTAATTCCAGCTTCAATATCCTCAGCTGCAACATACATAGCTAACACTTTAAAGGTAGGAAAAAGAAGGTAGCAATTATATTTAGTTTCAACTATGCAAAAAATGCATGTTCTTTAAGTACATCTGATGGTTGTGTTTACTTACGGAGGGTTATGTATATAATACTAGAGCATTATTTAGAAGAATCTATTATGCATGGATGCTTCTAATGCAATTGATACTATACTACATGATCCGTTAAAAGGGGGCTATATAATATATATGAAATTGATGCTCAGGAATATACAAGTGGGGAAGACAAACATGGACCATGATGAGACAAGGAGATTGACCAAGACAAGTGATAATTGTGAAGTCTAGTTCACTACATAAAAGTCAATCTTGAGGGACATGATTGAATGAAACATTTTTCACTTTTTTCCTCTCCCAAAAGAAAGCAAGATGAAAGGGTAAAACAAAGAGAAAGAGACGGGTGCACTCGAGAAATCGATTTTGCGTGGTCGTGTATTTATGAAGTTTATTCAAAACTTCAATTATGAGTCACTTTATTATCATAGTTAGAAGTTGGTCTTCTTTATTATAAGATCTGAAACATCAATTTGGTCGGGGTTATAGAAAAAAAATATGTATGACTATCAAATCTTTACCAACATGTCAACCCTTATGGTTCTATAAAGAGAATTGTAAATTTGTACTATAAGAGAGCAGTATAAGTTGTCGGCCTTTGAACAATTTTTGAACAATTTTTATGTATGAATTCATAGTATGGTCCACTTCTAACCTAATAAATATATGATTGGTCTTGTTCAACTTTTATGTATGCATCCATAGTATGGACCACTTCTAAGCTAATAAATATATGATTGGTCATTTAAGACCATAATCAACAAAATTGGTCCTGTCCCCCTTGCAAAAGAAGTGCAACTTGCATCTCGTATGAAAAGACAATGGAAAAAGGGACAAAAGAGTTTGATGAAGAAGTCACTCCTAGCAAATAAAAGTCTCACATAAATCACATCAAAGAGTTGAAATGGAGCAAAAATCTGAAACAATAATTGTATATTAATTGGTCAGAAAGATGTTACTACTATTTGTTTAAAATCTATGTAGAAACATGAATTTGCATGTGTATCATCATTATATCATTATGACTCTAACGAAAATGAAGTTGACTCAAACATAGACAGCAGTCACTACAGTCTTGGTCGTGTGATGGCTAGGGCTATTACATGCTTGTTCTGTGTTTTTAAGGGTTTTTACGAGAGAGACATACCTGTTTGTCATTTATAAGTTGGATGGAATTGACCAACATTTTGAGAAATTTTCAATTCACAAAATCTCAAAATTTAGATTTTCATTATTTTTCTAAACATATTTGTTATGATTTATTTTTCATGTTTTAATATTTTAATGTTTGGACGAAAGACTTCATAAAAAAAAAATTGGATGAGAGAGTATATTTATAAAGATTTTCTTTGGTACAATATTTTTACTAAGTTTTATTACATGTATTGATTAAACTATTTATATATATATATATATATATATATATATATATATATATATATATATATATATATATATATATATATATATATATATATATATATATATATATATATATATATATATATATATATATATATATATATATATATATATATATTTTAATGGTGTTATTGAATCAATAATTTACATTCATCAAATACAACTTGCACATATGCTACTCCACCCCTCTTCTATTTATGTATAAAATATCAAACAAATTTAAATTAAAAAAATTGTATTAAAATTTCTGTTATCCCTTAAACCAAGTTAACTTTCCTCCACTCTCCTTATCTCATTGAAAGAAATTATCTTACTACATTTGCAGCTTATTGTAACTGCTTTTATTTATTTACAATTGTCATTTATTTATATCAATGTGTTTAACTTTGATTTTTCATCTTGTAAAACACTGCATAAAGTTAATTAAAATTCATTTTTTTAAATATTAAATATATCTAATAATTTAAAATCATATATATATATATTTAATCATATATCTTGAATTCGAATTTAATTTTGCCACCCAACAATATTTCCGCATTAAAAATTTATCTTTTTAATCGGTGGACCAAAATTTTAGAGATCTCTTACTCTTTCTCCTAATTTTCAAATAACCAAACCTTATAATATTAAAAAAAGAAAACTTATTTCTATACTCGAGAGTGGAGACCACCTAGTTACTGGGCCCAAATTCAGTGGCTTCACATGACTTCACTTCTAATACAGCCCATCTAATTTTCTGAGTTAGAACGTACCAAAGGGACTGTACTTTTGTATTATCATTATTAATAAAAGGATAATTTCTATTTTAAGCAACAACTATGATAAAACAAATAATTAACTCGCCTTATTAGTAATAACAGATAAAAAGGAAATTACATCAAACTCCTTTTAATTGATTATTTTAGTTAAATATTTAAACAGTAATTTAAATGAATAATATATTCAAAAGAAAAATATTACATCAGTAATAATTTTTCTCCTTATATATAGGAGTATATTGACTAGTTTGACTCTAGAGTTTCACATGTAGTATATTTTGTTTTTCTCTTACTCAATTGTCACTCTCATAAAATTGATTGCATACATATTTTATCATTTCAGAAAAGTGAAATCCATCCACTCCACATCTGCTAAAGTAAGACACCACCAAACCCACACCCACAAGAGCCACAACCCTACCACATATAATTTGTGGTCACCATAGTGGCACAAAGCCTCAAATATGGGTAACATTAACTTGTTCCACCATTTAGTATATAAATATAGCAAAAATATTTACTCAAAATAAAACAAGAGTAAATAACTTAAGTTAAAGTAGGTCAGTTGATAGAACGTTTGATTAAAACAGTATTAGTTTGAACTCAAGCAGAGAAATTAGAGTAGAGAAGAATAACTTACGAATCATGTCATCGTCACTGAATGGCTTGGTATCAGCAATTTGATCTGGAGGCATAGTGAAGCCAGTGAAAGAAAACGAGAGACCCAAGCTAGCGCTTGAAGCTCTGCTCAGAGCTGCGCCACTACTCAGTTCATCAACATCAATCTTCATCTGAGCGCTTCTTGTTTTCCTTATATGTGTGTTCTTCCCTCCGCGCCCTGGCGAGGCCGACGTTATTCTCCGGCTTGATTTTCTCGACAGTCCTCCGCTCCCTTCCACCATCGAGTTAGTCGAGTGATCACTCGACTGTGGCGACTTTAGAGCCGCCGCGACGGATTCCACGAGCTGATCTGATATTGTCCTGGATATCCCCATTGTATTATTTCCTTTCTCCATAACTGTCAAAATATTAATAAATAAATAATTTGTTCAGTAATAATAATATTAGATTCTTGGTGGAGAAAGATTATGATGCAAGTTGCTTAGAGTAGTGATGTTATTTTTGCTTAAGAGTAAGTATAAGACATATTCATCATACATTATAATATACTTCAAAGGTAGAAGAAGTAATGTTTTTTGATTAGTTATCGAATACAAGATATATATATTGCTTAAACTATATATAAATAGAGACTCTAGTAATTGAAATTATCTTTAGCATTTTATGCTGAAAAAGGAATAGGAGAAGATATGTATATAATAATTACCTTGAGAAACAAGAGGTGTTTGTGATGATATGAAAATGGAATGTGAGACCAGTTGAGCTTAATCCAGCAACGGCAACCAAAATACATGCATATCCCGTTATGGACTTGCCCTTTTTATAAAGGGTTTTCGAGACCTACGTGAAGTTACAAAATTACCCCTGTGTTTCCTTGCAAATATCATCTGTTTGTCCTTGTATGCTTTTTTTTTCTTCTTTTTTTTTTCTAAATATATCAATGTTTCTTTCTATTATATGAATCTTTGATAATTGGTTTAAAGATGGATGTTTGAAGTTAACTTGATACCAAAAAAAAAAAGTTTTTATAAATATAATTATTAAATTAAATATATTTTAAAATACAATTACTATATTTTAAAATTGTTATAAAAAGATTTGATTTGATCTGATCAAAAAGAGATCGCTGGCTGCCACGCGTCTTCGACTTGATGCTTGTTCGCCGGTATTTAAGGAGAGAAAGGGGGGTGTATCTGCAAGACACTCCGATGCCAAAGTAAGCGTATGGGTAGAGTGATCACAAGTACAAAAAGAGGGTAAAAAGTGAATTACCTGACCCTCTTGTGAAAGAGGGTATTTATAGAGAGTCCCGTGCTGGGGTATAAGTAAGCGAGCCCCAGCTCATTCTCTACTTTTCGCCCTCTTGCTCTCAAACTTTCTGCCTTGCCGCCGTCTGATCTCTCTGTCGCAACAGCCACCACGTACTCCGCCGCAGATCGAAATATAGTAAGTTTCCTTTCTCCTTTCTTTCGTTTTTCCCGTTTGTTTTAGGACTGTGGTCGGGGCGTGTTGAATGCCCCGAGGAGAGGTGAGGATCTCCTCCGCTCTAGGGGGATTTTCTAGGGTTTTAACGTGAGCGTTCCGAGGAGAAACGCCAATTCCGATGAATACCCCGGGGACAGATGCTTGTTCCGATGAATGCCCCGGGGAAAGACGCTTATTCCGATGAACGTCCGGGGAGCGACGTCTATTCCGATGAATGCCCCGGGGAGAGCGTGTAGGTTAGGTTATGCCGGTTCCCCGGGGAGGTGGTAGGTTTTGGGTAGAGCCACCGGGGACGATGCTCAGTTTGTCCTCGTCGCCCTTTCACTTGACTTGCGGTGGAAGGGTGAATTTGATCTTTGTCATCGAATTCACCGTTACCTTCTGCTTTTCAGGTGTTAATGACTACGTTTGTCCCGGGGATAATGGTCGAGGACAATGAACCGAACGTTCCACACTTCGACGAGCGCGCCCTTCCCCTCGAGGAGTGGGTGGTCGAGGAGCCTCTGTCCATGCCTTCCTGTTTCGCTTCTGACCCGACGGGAGCCTACGCCACCGTGGAGGATCGGCGAAAAGGTGACCCCCAGAATTGGCAAGTTTATCGTCCTCGGGCGGGCCACCGAATCTGCTCGAAGTACGGGAGGATGCGATTCCCGATGTACGAATTCTATTTTAAAGAGGCCAGGCTCAGACTGCCATTCTCAAACTTCCACCTGGGCCTCTTCGATTGGCTCAGGTTGGCCCCGTCGCAACTGCATCCGAATACCTTGGCTTTTATTCGGGCATTCGAGGTTGTGTGCCATTATCTCCAGGTCGGCGTTACGCTGCCGCTATTCTTCCGCATCTTCCATCTGCAACGGCAGACGGTGAATGGCCGGCACGGCTGGGTGTCGTTCAAGCAACCAGACAGGCTTTTCAAAACGTACATGGACTCTGTCCGGGACTTCAAGGGCCATTTCTTCATCGTCAGCCCGATCACGCATGCGGGGGTTGACTCTTTATATTCAGAAGGGGAGCGGATCGTGGATGGCCAGCGGGAGGCCGTTATGCTGCCGCGGGTGCATGTGGAATGGACCCCGGAACATTTCTCCCGGGGGACAGACCGGTACATAGTGCGCGCGGGGTCGCTTGACGAAGAGGACATGACCGACTATTTGAAGATAGTCTCGTTCGTGCGCAACCTGCCGCCGTCGAAGTTGGGGACCCCCGACGGCCGCTACATACTCGACAGCCAGGGGAATGTCCGCGAGACCGCGAGGTTGATCAATACAAAGGCTCTGCTCGAGTGTTCCTCGGAGGTGGAGGCCCTTAGCTATCTAGGTGATGGACGCCTCTCCCCTCTCACGATCTGGTACTCTTTATCTGTTATTGACTCACTTTCTTTGTTTCGCAGGGAACATGTCTTCCGTCGAGGAGCGGGTGAAGAAGTTGCGCGCGTCGAGGGTTATTGTTCCTCCAAAGATGCGGGTTGCCCAGCTGGTCGGGCAGGATTTCGCTGATCAGGATGGCCGGGGGTCATCGTCTCCTTCCAGTAGTCAGTCGCCCACATCCCAGGTGGCCCCGAAGAGGCCTAGAGTCCAGAAGGTGGAGACCATGGTCGACTTATCAGCGGATTCTACCAAGGAGGGCTACTCCATCGCGCTCTGCCATAAGCACTCTGGTTATTTTCATGGGGCCAGGTCGCCCAGTATTCCTGCCGAGGAGGCGAAGGCGGTCTTGAGCACGAACCGATCTACACGGAGGCAGGTCCTGACGGAGGATTTGGCTGCCCTGATGCAGACTTTTACTACGACGATGGTTCTGAGAAAGGAGAGCTGCTCGGTCGTCGAGCTGTCCAAGCTGCAGGGGGACCTTGCTTTCTCGTAGTCTCGTCTGAACAAGGCCGTCGAGGACCTGGAGCTGAACCGGGGAAAGGTGACCCGGCTAACCGAGGAGATGGAAAAAAGTCAGGGGGAGGTCGCCAGTGAGCGCAAGAGGGGGGACAGCGTCGGGGATAAGTTGAAGGCCGCTGAGGAGGAAGTGCGGGCTCTGAAGGCTTGCATGGAGAAACTGGAGGGTGGTCTTTGTCCTGCTGATGATGAGACCGATGAAGATAGGCAGATGGTTACCCGGGCTGATCTGCTCGCTAGGATACGGGTGCTGGAAGGCGACTGTCTGGAGGCCTTTGCCGCAGGTTTCAGTGGTGCTGTCGCGCAACTTAAGGTGGTGAAATCTGGTGTTGCGTTGTTCGAGGATGGCATCGGGCCTTTCCACGAGATAATCGATGGTCGGGTGGTCAACCCCAGCGCCGAGGAGGCTGGTCCCATTGTCCCTCCCGTCGAGCCTGAAGCGGAGGAGGAAGAAGGAGCATAGATTAGTTACGGGCCTGCATGCCCGCGTATTCTGGCCTGCGTGCCAAACACTTTGTATTTTTCCTGTGTTTTCTTTACCGGGCCTACATTCCCTTATTGGTGATGTAATATTAACTACTGGGCTGGTGCCCGCTTTTATATGGTACTTTTGGAAATTTGTTTAAGTGTGCACTTTGTTTTGTTTTCACATGTTGTTATGCTCGTTTTGTTTCTGCACTTTTGTATGCTCGATATATATGTGTATGTTTAAAATGCATGTTTGTTATGCTTTTGGACCCGTCCGGGGTGGTAGCTCGACGATAATTGTTTCCAGTAGTGTGGAGTGTAACGCCCATTTTAATTATTTTTGGTTTTCGGGATTATTTTATTTGAGAATGTGCTTGAGAAAGAAGGATCAAGAACTCATGATATTGGTATACAGTGATAAAAATATGATATTTAATAGTAATGTGATATTATTATTAATTATTATCATTTTTATTACTAATATTAATTTTAAGAGTAAAATTATAATTTAAATGGATTTTTGGAATAAAAGTATTATGAGGAATTATTATTAAAATGAATTATTTGGATTATTAAGAGGATTGTTGGGACTAAGGGCAACATTGTCATTTTGGTGAGAATTAGAATTGGAAAGAAGAGGAGAACACACGCACGGTGAAGAACACGGTTTGAGCAAGAGGAGAGCTACACGATCAAGAACATCAACTTAAGCAAGCGGATTTCGTGTGGATTAAGGAGCTTGTTCATCATCAAAGCTTGAATTGAGGTAAGGGGGGGGGGGGATAATCGGTTAAATTCGGTAAATGCATGATTAATCGGTAGAAAAGGGGAAAATCCCTAACCCCATAGATTTCTTGATGATTGATGTTGATTGCATGCTGTTATTGTTGTGATTGTTGTGTTGTTTGATGTTTAAATCATTGCATGTGCTGAGAATGTTAGATGGGATGAGTTTTGGGATTTTCGGTTAAGTTCGAAGTTGAGCCGGAAGTTGGTTATGAGAGCTGAGTTGATGATTAGTCGGATGGAATCGGGAATAGACCCCGTAACTAAGTTGCAGTATATGGTTGGGTGTGGGTTTCGATTTAATCGGGCGAAATCAGTGTGGGAGGCGACTCTGCATCGCATAATTTTTCTGAGTACGCAGGTATTCGCTGGGCGAATGGGGGGCGAGCCTTCGCCAGGCTTCACCGGGCGAACTAGCCAGCGAGTGCTGGCTAAAGCTTTTGTCTGACTTCGCCAGAGTTTCGCCAGGCGAATGACAACGAGTGTTTGTTGCGGGGATTCGCCGGGCGAATGCGCCAGCGAGCCCGACAGCAGTTTGTGTTTTTGCTGCTGTCTTGTGTTGTTCCTCTGTGGACTTGGACCCTCGTTGGTCATGTGTGATGGGAGGCTTGCTGGAGAGCTGATGCGAGCGTATGTTGGTGGTTGTAGGGCTGTTTGGCCGGCGTTTATCGCAAGTGGCATAATCGTTGAATTATGCGTTAAGTATGAACCTATGTGGGTGTGTACGTGAGATGTGTGTGCCGTGTGTGTGATGCGTGTGAGATATGAGG